CCTAGTCGGTGTTTAGGGAACCCTAAACCCAAAGCCCTACTAAATCCTAAACCCTAAACACTCGGTTTAGGGTTTGGGATGCCTCGCCGGACGCGGCACTCCTCACGGCCTCGTTCGGCCGTACCTGCGTACGAACGGATTTAAGGCTTGCCTAAAACCCATATTAGTTTAGGGCTTAGGGTTTAAACCCATATTGCCTACTTTTTTAAGTAAGGACTTGTACACTTTCGGGTCCAGGTAGGTTTAGGGCTTTGGGCACCCATAAGCCCTAAACCCCAAAATGCCCCAAAAACCCGAACCTAGGGCAGCCCTAAACCCTAAACCCGAAAACCCCAAACTTAGGGCACACCTAAAAGCCCCTGAACCCCAAACCCCAAACCCTAAACCCCAAACCCTAAACCACAAACCCCAAACCCTAAACCCTAAACTGCAGGGTTGGAGGCGAAGCTTTCGGGTGCCGTTGAAAGCTCTCGGTCTGGGCACAAAGTCTCGAGTGAATGAAGGGTTTCGGGCTTGGGGTTTCGGGGTGTAGGCTCTGGGCGCTTAGGGCTTGAGGTTTGGGATTAGGGTTTGGGGGTTTAGGGCTTGAGCGCTTAAGGGTTTAGGGGGTTTAGAGTTCAGTGGTTCAGGAATTTTGGGATTAGGGTGTGGTTAGGGGTTTACACTCACTCGGCGAAGAAACCGAGGCTTTCTTGCTCAGGGCTTTCGGTGTTCAGGGCAGCGTTGCCAAGAAGATCTGGGTTACGTTTTTTCAGAGAAAGCTACTGGACTTTTTTGTTGGAATTCAAACACCTAAATGTTGGGTAGTTTAGACACCATCTGAAAGAACCACACCCTGTCGTCAATTCAGCAACGAGGCCTTCAAAACACTCTTCGACATGTTCAGGACCCTGCACTGAACCCCTAAACCGCACAACCCCTCAAACCCTAAACCCTGAGCCCCTGAACCCCTAAACCCTACAAACCCTTCACCCCTAAAGGCACTTCAACCCCAAACCAGCTATACTACAATAACAAGGAGCCCCCAAAACATGTATTGGAAATTATTTAGGCCCCCTAGACTAAACCCCAACAACACCTAAACCCCCCCTAAACCCTAAACCCTAAACTCCAAAAAACACCTAAACCCCCCCTAAACCCTAAACGGCCCTAAACCCTAAACCCTAAGCCCCAAAGCCAAGCCTGCTCCCAGGCTTCCGGCTTCTTCGAGTGGATAGCCCTCAGTAGGCTTGGGTCAGGCTCGCGCCAGTGCACCCAAATCGAGTGCCAGGTGCCTGGGCTGAAGGTCGTCCTAGACCCTAACCAGTTGTTTTTTTGTTTGTTGGGGGGGTGATTTTTTTGGGGGTGGAGGGGTCAAAGAGCTTTGGTGATTTCAGAGTTTGCGGTTTTAGAGTTGGGTTGGTGGTCTCAGGGCTTGCGGTTGCGAGGGTTTTGGGTTTCCGGGCTTGTACAAGACAGGGTAACAAAAAGGGCGGAATGGGAATGCACAGGGCGCAAAAGGGTTTATATGGGTTTCAATCAAACAGACCGGTGTTTCGGGGTAGCCTAGAGAATTGACTATAGTTATAGACGGACAGAAATTCGGGACGCCCATATTGGCATCACTGCGCGGGGTTGCAGTGCGGACACCCGACACGATGAATCCTCATGGATTGGGCTTAGGGGCTTGGCGTCTAGGGTTTGGTTCGGTGCTTGCAGCAAAATCTTGTTCTAATTGCTTAAGGTCTCTCTCTCTCTCTCTCTCGATATATATATATATATACACACACATACAAAATGCAACAAGCCTTATTGTAGAACTTCTGTTCTACAGCCTTGACCATAGAAGCTCTATTGTAGAACCCTTAATATAAAACCTTCATCATTGAACCCGTATTAATAAAGCTCATATTATAGAACCTTGCTGATAGAACCCTCACTACAGAGCCCCAGGCGTGAGGATCTCGAACTCCTGCTCCGGAAAGCTCGCGAGGCTCCGTCGCCCGGACTACGACGCTCTTCTCCTAACCCTAAACCCTAAACCCTAAACCCAAAGCCCTAAACCAACAACAACAAAAAAGGAAGTCTCCAGAGAAATCCAGTAGGGCTTAGAGTTTGGGGTCCCATAGGG